CGGTTGCGGGAGGTGAAACTGTCAGCAAATATGACCCCCAGTTTGCTTAGCACATTGATAAAAATACGTACGAGGTTTTGCCACAGCCAAACCTACGTTTGTAGAATTGACTTGACACTAGCTGTCCCGCTCCCGCCGCGGAGAGAAGTCAGAGATGGAATTCACATTTTCCTTGAACTTACTTTTAAGCGGCGCGTTAGCTGCAGTGACACTGCAGAGATCAGGTATTTACGTATTACTGAAAATTACGCGAATTAGTATTTTTAAATATTATGAATTTGTACGGTGTGTCTCATTTTAGTAGTGTGCTGAGCTGTTAATTTAACCGAGTATGTAACAAGACAATTTAAACGTAACATAGTATACCATTTTTACATTACAATGATATAAATCGAGCATAAATCAAAAAAGAAAAAAGATAAAAAAAAAACAATATTAAATAAACAATAAAACAATCTAGGTAGTTTCCCGTAAGAGGTATTTTTTTAAATGAAATTTAAATGCGCAGTGAGACACATTCTGTGATTAGCTGGCTATTAAGTAGTCTAAGAGATGTATACGAGAAGCAGGTATTAGCCATGGACTTCCTAATTTTAGGTATTTCATAGTGACAATTGAGGCGGGTTCCACGGAAATGAATTCCATGTCTACAAGTTAGTTTTTCCCACAAATATGAGGGGCATCCAGTTTTAAGTAGTTTGTGACGAAAACAACCAAAATGTAATTCTTCTCGGTTCGATATATTTAACCATTTTTAATTGACAAGTTTTTAACTTACGCGATCTCTTCGTCTGCTATAAATACTTTTTGTAAAACTTTTTGTCATTTATATTTTGTCAAAATATCCAAGTAGGGTCCATAGATAAAATTACAGTGCTTTAGGTAATTCAAAACCAGTGCTTTACAGAAATTTGCTTTTGATCAAAGTTTAGAATATCTTTACTTTGATAGATGTTTTTGGAGAATTTTGGAAACCTGTTTATGAAATTTGAGTTCATTATCGAAGATGATACCTAAGTATCATGCCATGATCATTTGACTATTTAAAGACCGATTCCAAGCATTTATTTAGTCTCCTTGCCGCTTCCACTGCACCAGACCGGGTCTTCAGCATACCTGTGACTATCGAACTCGAAGCAACCCTACACTTCTGCTGTATAAATAATGAAGACAAGAGGTCCTAATTGTGAGCTTCGAGGGAGGGGGTCCACTTCTAAGGCTTTCGATCTAATGATAATTACGAATCAATTGAATCACCTTTAATTTAAACCCGTTGTATTTTAATTAATCGAAGCTTTACTATAATCTAATAAGATCAAAGCCATAGCCATAGCGAAATCGTGACTGTAATTGTTATTAGTGAAATAATCACAGAGCTGCATATAAATCAGGTTTTCAAATACCGTAGAAAGCACTAGCAACAGACTAGTAGGTTCTAAGACCTGCGACCTACTTCCCCTGCCCAGGAAACATACAGCTTTCAGTACAAAAATGAGAAAGTTCAGTAAGAATGGGCAGCAAAGTTTTACCATTTCTAGTGTAATTCCATCGGTACCGTGTGCATTGGATCTGATTTTGAAAATTTTGCATTTTTAGACATCCTTTGTGGTTATACTGGTCTGGATACCGCGTTTATATAGGATCCAGTGGCGTAGTTTTTTTTCTAAAACTTACAAATTTTGGAATGTAAACTAAACTTGGGGTTTTCTAATGGAACCAGTTATACAACTTTGAATAATTTTATTAGCCTTCTTATTTGCTTTTCAAAAATATGTAACGCATTACAAGAGTTTTTTTACTTAAACTGCGTAATATTTTTATTTTCCTTTAGTTGTCAAACACTCGTGATAGTTCCTGCTATGGCAAAATATATATGAAAAATTCGACATAGCAGGGGTGTATTATCAATACGCACACACAAAAATTAATTTAGCAGGTAGCTTTTCATAGGTAACTTTGTGTAGTAAATTATGTAACTGATATGAATAAAATTAGTTTGACTACATAAAATCCACTAAAGGTAACTCATTAACTATAGAATAGAATAGAATAGAATTTATTGACTACGTTTTGTTCTTACAATTATGGCAAGTCAATACGTAAAAAAAATATGTATATAAAAAACAAGACAATGAATAAATTATATAAAAAGTATGAAAATTATATAAAACAGTGTATAATACATAAGAACAGGAAAGTGTATATAGCAAAGTACAGGACGTTTATATAAATAAACTAAAAGAAGCAACATCAACAAAATTATAGAAAGTCAGTCACACCGGGAGTACCCATGTATTCCCCGACCGAGTAAAAGCAGTTAAGAAAGGTTAACATGTTTTTTTTTTTAATTATCTATTACTTAGAACTTTCACGTTGGTTGGTAGTATTGTACAAGTTTAAGTTTAGTGATTTTTTTTTTTGCTTTTTGTATATTTCAATCTTGAAGCACGAAGTAGCTTGTTATTTCTAGTTAAATAGTCATGGTAAGATGAGTTCTGACTGAAGCTGTGTATTTCTAATAATTGATAATAGATATACAGACGAGGAAGTGGCATAACTTCCAACTTCTTAAAAATTGGTCGACAATGCTCGAGATAACCTGCACCGGCAATCAAACGAACAACCTTCTTTTGCAGTTTAAATGCCTGGTCTGCTGTAGCAAAATTACCCCAGAGAACTATGCCGTAAGTTAGATGAGAGTGAAAAAGAGAAAAATAGATAATTCGCAATGTGCCCGCCGTAACCAGTCCTTTAAGTTGCACAGGATGTTAATTTGAGGGGCCCAATTTAAACTATCATCAAGCGTTACTGCCAAGAGCCTCACATTTTTGCCCTCCAGTAGATTATTATTAGTTGAGAAAACAACACGTTGTGCCTTAGTTTAGTTTAAGGTTATTATTGGTGAACCAAAGTCCCGCCATCCGCTCAACATTATCAACATTGTGTACAGACGGAGCCCTGAGGCACCCCACTGCTCACAACCCTCAACTCCGATATGTTATTGTTAAAGACGACACACTGTCTTCTGTCAGTTAAATATGACCTAAGTTCCAGAAGCCCGTCATGCGAGACGCTGTCGAAAGCCTTAGTGAGGTCACATAGCGTGAGTGCAGCTTGCTCGCCCTTTTCCAGGCCCCCACCACGTCTCCCACAACCCTGCGAACCGCCTGCACAGTGGAGCAGCCGGTCTTAAAACCAAATTGGGAATCACAAATGCATTTTGTTTTTTGAGAAAAAATCATTATAATTGATTTTTTAAAAGTGTCTCGAAGACCTTACCAAGTATGGGAACTATTGATATGGGTCGGAAATCATTTGGAGAATTTGCGTTACCTTTTTTAAATATTGGAACCACCTTCACGACCTTAAATGGCGCGGGAAAACTTCCACTATCAATACATGTGTTAAATAAAAATGTTAGAGGTGTTACAATCTCGTTGATAATCTCCTTCAAAATAATACTATTAAAACATACACCGTAAAACATCGTCTTCTGCCATCCAGTGCAACATTGGTGGTAATAAAGCTATGGCAACCATTTCATAATTACAAATGCCAATTATAATTTGTAAAGAAAAATATAATACATAAAAAGTAGATTTTACTGGATTCTCCTTATAGTAGGTAACGTAGATGAGGTACGGGGAGCAATAAAAACTAATATTAAACAATAACAATTTTGGTAATAAAAATAAAAAACGTCAAATTAAATTTTGTAATTGTCCACGACCTACCCCAATAAATTTTACAATACACTCTTCCAAAAGTCTGGTTCAACTTATTTCCAAAGATATCCGCTGCTCTTTGTATTTTCTACGGCAACTCCATGAAAAGAATTAACATCGTAAGCGTATAGCAAATCCTTGTCCAGAGGGTTTAAGTCTGGACTCTTTGGCGGTGAAACAATTCAGTTCCACAACCGATGAGATAACTGCTCATATTTATAAAGAAAACAGAGGAAATATCTTGAAGTTGCTAAATGCCAATAAGTCCAAAACCGACATATTTAGGCGGGTTAAACCAGAATACCTTTTCTATAAAAAGATGGAATATATTTTCATTATGTTTCAATCACAACTCGACAGGTAAAGAAATATGATTCAATTTATCTAAATTATACGGCTATGAGACCGGTTGAGCTCAATCACAATATTTTGGTGTGTATACCATTGGTGTGTATACCATATATTTGATTTCTGGAATGGTTACGCTGGTTTCATATAACGCATTTAACATTGTATGGCTACATTATCAATTTGAGGAAATATTCCATTTTTAACGTGATCTTTTTCCAACTGAAAAAAAAGAAGATATTCAAAACTCTTAGTTGTGATTGACTGCATCGTGCAAAAGCTTATAAAGAGTCACAACCAATGAATGTCAATTTTGACTAATATATTCTGAAAGGTACATAACTTGACTGTTATCAAGAAACGTTATTTATTTTTTCAAAATTTTTTGATTAAATAAAAATAACGTTAACTTTATCTCCAGTTCAGAGATCGCCAATTCTTTGTGAATCGCTCCCTACAAATATTGTGAATAAGTAACTATGTAAATTATAATACAAATGTCTACCCTCGCCGCCGCCACTGACCGTTTTGGGCCGCTTACGGTCGCCGGTGTTCATTCGGCCGGGATCTTCGGCAACGCCGCCGCGGCCACACATGTGAGAGGTGCGCGACGTTGCCGGATCCAGCGCGAAGTGGCAGAACCGGGGACGCGTAGCGGAGTTACCTGTGGGAATCGATCGCCGTGTTGCACGCGGTTGCCGCTTCGTCGACGACACGGAGACAAAGAAAATGTACATACGTTTTCATTCTTAGACGAACCCACGCCCCCTCCTCGGTTTATAATTCATGTTATTACATGCATTCGCGTCGGCGATTTTCCGTCGCGAGGGTTGTAGCAGGGTGGTGGTGGGGGGGACGTCGGAAAATACGTGGTAGGGTTGGAAAAAAAGAAAAAAAAAAACGGGCACCGTTTTAGGAGAGTTTAATTCAGGAAAAACTCAATATTCTTATGGACTCCAGGAAATTGGCTAGGGCGTAGACGTTGACCTTGGACGTTTTCAGCACTTTGTTCCTGACGAATATGCCGCTGGTGGTTTTCATTAGGTGGTACAGGTCGGCGCAGAACTGAAAATCCAAGATTCAAGGCGATGATCGAAATATACAGGGTGTTTAAAAACATATTGGTCACCAAGTCGAATGTTTGTTCAACATCTCGAATTGGTAGAATTGGTAGAATTTTGAGCAATCCCCTCGTTTGGAGGATTGTTTTCATGTTTATTCCGAGACGGCCCTGGATAGTGCAATAGTTTTTACGTTTTTTTTTTGTATTATTTTTGTTTACATTTTCCGGAAAAAAGGTGGTATGTTAGTGCGTCATTCAAAAATAAAAAAATGGATTAATAATGAAATTAAGGCGTCTAGTGCTAATTTAAATAATCTGTTCTTAAAGAGTGCAATCCGCTATTGAACGGGGTATATACGAGGGCAGCGCCAAAGTTTCCCGGCCTGAAACAAAGTAGAGTAACAATTTTGTATTATTTTCCAATATAATCCCCTTAACTTCAATACACTTATTACATCTCTTTATTAATAACTCAATCCCTTTAAAAAAATATTCTTTTGGTTTGTCTACAAAATGACCTAAAACAGCCTCTTTTAAGTTAACTTCGTCGTTAAACCGCCGTCCACGTAAGTCCTTTTTCAAATATCCAAACAAATAATAGTCGCTGCGGGCCATATCTGGACTATAAGGAGGATGATCTATCTCTTAAAACCCACCCCAGAAGTATGGACAGGTGCATTATCGTGCAAAAGACGCACGACTCTGGTCAGTGTTTCTCGACGTTTTACACGTATGCAGTCTCGCAATTTATGTAATAATGTTGCATAATATTTACCGTTGACAATGGTATTAGTTTCTTTAAAATCTATCAAAAGAATTCCTTCACAATCCCAAAAGATCGTGGCCATCACCTTTTTTATTGACTGGCAGACTCTGAATTTTCTTGGAGGTGCTTCACCGTTACGACGCCACTCCATTGATTCTTTTTTCGATAGAGGATCATAATAGAGAACCATAGTCTCATCTCCCGTCACAATAGTTTCTATCGCAGGCTTCGGTTCCGATCCACAGAGTTCCAAAAAAGACCGCGCATGCTTAACACGGCGTTGTTTTTGAATAGCCGAAAGGTTTTTAGGAACCCATCTTGCACTAACCTTGTGCATACCTAAATGATCATGTAGGATTCGACGAACACTTGTATCAGAAAGCTTAGTAATTTCTGAGATTTCCTTGACCTTTAAACGTCGATCACTCAATACCACCACTTCCACAATCGCAACAATATCTTCCGTTATGACCGTCATTGATCGACCAGTTCTTGAATCATCTTCAAGGGACTCCTGCCCCATTCGAAAACGTTTTGCCCATTCTTTTACTACAGAATACGAAGGAGAACTTTGGCCGTACACACTATCCAGCCTTTCTTTAATAATTTTAGGTGCTAACTCTTCTTTTGTCAAAAACTTTATGACTTCTCTATACTCAATTTGCGTTATTTGCGACATTTTTTCGGACACGTCTTGTTTAAGATACTGTCAATAAAAAATTATTTGACCCAAGGCTTCAATTTTTTTTCTCAGCCTACTAAGATATATATTTAAATGAAGACATCAAAAAATAGTTTCTGAAACTAAAAAACTTTCTATCAGCGACCAATTTCGGATTCTGTTGATCTTTATGGTGCTGCTTGGAGGGTGATTTCGGAGTTGTGAATAAGAAGAGTAATAAAATCGAGAATGAGCCTAATATTGTGGCGTTTGTATTTAATAACTATTCTATAGATTCTCCCAAAAATTATGTTAGTCCCATTCAGTTGTATAACAAAAGTATTGGTCTGAGTTTTATTAGGGATGTTAATATATTACCTTTGATTGAGGATGAGCTCTTGCATATTTTAAAAAAATAAATTAAAAAACAAAGTCTTTTGGATCCGACGGCATATCAACGTTTTTATTAAAGTATATGCGCTCCTCACTAAAATCGAGATCTCGGTAACGGTAGGTCCTAGAGGAAAGAGGATAGAAATGATCTGCGTCGAAAAAAAATTTTTTTTCGACGATAACTTCCGAACGGTTTATGTTACACACTTCTAATTTTGCTCTTTTTTAACACTCCGCGGGGTATATAAGATATGTAAAAATGACTGCTGTCAACTTTCGGCGTCCATCGTTTTTTTTTTTTTTTGATTTTCGACTGTTTTTTAGACATCAACACGATAAGTGTTCGAAATTTGAAACTATTAATTAGAAATTTGGCAGATAAGTAGAATTTGGTCCCCTAACGGAACTTATTGAAATTGGGGGTATTTTAAAGAAATAGAAAATCGCGTTTGCAAGGGTCTAATAAAAAATTCTTTCTCGAAAACCGTTTATGCAAAAGTTCTTGAACGAAAAGACGGATAAAATTTGCTGGAAAGGGAATAAAGAAAGACCAAAAAAAGATAAAAAGTTCTAACGACCTAAACTTTAGAATGGATGTGTATTATACAGGGTGTACCAATTCGTTGTTGCGGAAACTTTCCAAACCAACCACCAAAGTTAAAGTTAAAAATTTAATTTAATTTTTACCAAACTAACGAATATTAATCAAAACTAGATAGACAAATATCATTTACCTTGATCGGCTCGACATCATTGTCAGAAAACACTTGGCTGACTTCGGTACAGTCGACGAAGGATGCTCTCTGCGGAGTGATCAGCAACATCTGATGGGTTTTCTAAAAATAGTTGCGCCATTTGCAAAAATATAGCGAAAAAAGTGATCAACGACTGACATCATACTACCAGCTGGGAAAATAATACTATAACCTACAAAGAAAAACTTTTATAATCATTTTTTCATTCGGAACGATGAAACTGACCGGACGAGTTGAATATGCTGCACCATTACTATGCAAACGAATTTTTTTTTTGTCCTTTGTAACGGCATCGGCGTCCAAAATTTAGGTCATCAATTGAGCTGCTAAATGCTAATGCTTCGTTTGAATATGTTTGCAGTACAAAATTTATATTAAAACTTCCAATGCGGACAAAACGTAGTATTTATTTATCTTTGAAGCGGTGACATATGGTCAAACGTACACAGTGGAATGAATAACGTGATGATAATTATTTTGAATTTTCTGTGGACGAGGTGTCTTCAAATTTTAATTTTCGAAATAATTATAGTCTGTCTCAATCTTCATCGTATTGGCTTTTGAAGGACCTTCCTCGATAAAACTTTAACGATGTTATTATCTACTGTTATTGGGTAATGCCATTAACAACAAATTTATTCCTACTTGATTGACAAGGCAGGGGTGGGCCATCGTTTCTACTATGCATTTCGAAAAAGTTCTCTTACAAGAACATAATAATCATAATAATAATAATCATTTAGCTTAATCTTAAAAGAGGCGTCTTTTACAATACGTTAATTTTGTTAGTATTATGTTTCAATTTAAATTTATTTTAGTAGCAGCATTTAAAGCTTCATTTGCAACAAAGGATAAATATAACCGAGTATCATCGGCGTAATGATGTGTATGAGTATTTCCTACAACTATCCTTTCGTATCTCTGACCAAAAAAATTTAAAAAAAATGAAAGAGTACCTTACCTTTTATCCCGTAGAATTCCAGTTTATCTAGGAGAAGGAAATACGTATGAGACAAGAGTTTAACTTAAAGTTCTCTGCTCTCAATCAGTAACATGAAGCAAGGCAGAAATAGTGCTGTGAAGAGGTCGAACATCAGATTGAGTGTCTGGGAGGATTTTGCTTGTTTAGCTGGAATTTTTGCAATAACCTTTGAGATGATTGGCAACAAACTGATTGGTCTAAAATCGTTAATGCCACTTGGACACTCTTTCTTTGGAACGGGTATAACTCCGCTTGCTTCCCACAATCCGGAAAAATTCCGGTCAGCAGACACGTCGACTAAATACAGCGTAGTCAAAAGAATCATTTTTATATCAATCTTGTCTGAGCCACCAACCAGAACGGAGTCGCTTCGAAATCCTTCGTCGCTTGATGCAAAACAGGTTGTGAAAAATGTGTATGAATTTTTATCAGTAGATGACTTATTAAACAGGAAACTTTTAAAGAAAGCTGTCTACTTACAAAAGCGCCAATATCGTCGATAAAGGATATTATTAATAGTGGAGAATTGAAGTAAAGGAATAAACGTATTGATTTTCAAACTCATCGTATAGTATATTATGCAACAAGTGCGGTAAGCGGCATTTGACTAGACTAGATTTCATTTCTCATGAATCCAAGCCACTTCGGATATTTCCGGGATTTTACCGCACGGATTTGTTAGAAATCAGATGTTTTCGGAGATATTTCCCACGCTTTGAATTTTGACGTTTGTCAATTCTGACGGTCACGTCACTGAATGTATTCTAGTTGTTTTGCGAAAATGTACCTAAAAACTAATGGTCGTAGAAAAAGTATAGTAGGCAACACCTTCGGTCAACTTTTTAACTCACTTGTTTATTAAAAATTCGCTCCGCTGCGCTCCGCTCGTGTCAAATAAACTCGGGAGTCAAATGCCGTTTACCGCACTTTTTGCATAATATACTATTACCGAACGTGTTGCATATTATACTTTTTCTACGACCCTTAGTTTTTGGGTACATTTTCGAAAAATGACACGAATACATTCACTGACATGACCGTCGGAATTGAAAAACGTCAAAATTCAAAGCGTGGGAAATATTTCCGGAAACATCCGATTGCTCCCGAATCCGTGCGATAACACCGGAAATGTCCGAAGTGGCTCGGATTCGTGGGAAAGGAAACTGACGTGGTAAAGTGTCGCACGCTATATCGGTGGGTAAGCGAAGTTGTTCCTACCTTGGATAACATGAAAAAGAAGCTAGGAGAAGATGAAACTTATATAAATATAAGCTGTGCCACCCTCCACAGAGTTGTTTGTAAAATGGGATTTATATACAGCAAAATAGACTCAAAAATAATGGAATCATATAGATCGAGATCCATAATTTACCATGATGAAACAAGGTTCGACACACGCAGGACACTTTATTCAAAGGATGTATTAATTTTACTCAAAACTGTCAGACCAAAGCACCTTCAAATAAAGGAAAACGCATCACCATAATACCCGCTGGGTCAGAAGACGGATTGGTCCCTAACTAACTACTGTCTGCAAAGAATATGAAGAATTCTAGCTTGCATTATCAAGGGGATACAAGTGCCGCATTTTCTGAAAGTTGGTTTCAAAACAATCACAGTATGCATGTGATAATTCAGCAGAACAGGCTGGGCATAATGTTTTACTTCTTCGACCATATCATTGCATGTTTAACTCCATAGAGCACTTGTGGAACCAAGTATAATGAAAGGTAAGAGCAGAAAATTTTACTCAACAAAAATTCAGTACAACACATTACAAAAATTAAGGACTCATTTCTATACAAAGCAACATAAATCCTATTATAATTAAACTCAATGACGACTCTGATAGTGAAACAGAATTAGATTTAGCCATTTAGAATAAAAATGTAATTATGTATAGATATTCCTAGCTGTGAATTCATTGTATATATTTAATGTCAATGTTCTGTTCTTTAATACTTATCGGATTTTTATTACCGTCGGCCAGCACCATGAAGATCGAGACAGACTATACATAATTGTTGCCTCTGAGTATAAAGGTTTATAAACACATTAAGCTGAAAAATGATCGCAAAAAGTCGCAAAATTTCATTTATTAATTAATTTTTTTTCAATTTTCTAACGCCGTTTTCCGAAATAGTTAAAAATATTTTTTTAAAATCTAGTATTCTTGACTTTATCTTCGACCACTGTCACTTGCAGCAACCGCAAATGCTTGCTTAAGGTATGTACTACACGTAAAGGTTTTCCGTTCAGGTAAAACTTGTGTTGAAACAACTCACTTGCTTGGCCTTGCTTGGTACGTAATTCCTCATTTGTAGAACGATGCTCCTGCGGCCCGCCTGCAGGTTCCACCTGGACCAAGCGAAATTGAAGCAGTTCGACAACTGCGCCATGTTGAAATACAGGTGTCTCTCCATCGCCCACTGCTTTTCACAGCTCCCTCGATGCGATCATTAAGTAAATAATTAATTACAGTGCCGACCCAATTTTTTCTGCACGCCGGGCATGCATAACGTTTTTGTTTTTTTTATAAACGCTTCCTGTAGATAGGTACAGTGTGTCCAAGTAACGTGGCGACATATACGAAAGTGTAGTGTGTAAAAATAAATCAAGGAGTATAAGATAGAGGGGAAGGTCGCGAATACTGTTACGAGTGCCATCTATATTTGTGTCCAAATACTAAAGTAAAGTCAAGGTGGTTTAAAGTAATGCGTCACACTGAAAATACTGCAGTAACTTGTAACGGATGACAGCACTTTATTTATATTTTGTAATTTTATAATTTTATAATGTGAAATGATGTGTAAGAAGGCCGGAAAGGAGAGAGGAAAGAACAAACGCGTTAAATTTATAGCGTCTCAAAAGTAAATTAATGATTATCGATCAACTTTTTTTACTATACTAGTAAATATTTATATATTGTAAATTTGGTTTTGTTAAATGTTTTTTTAATTAAAATTGACGACATAATATTAAAAATTTTGTTTAATAAAATTAGTGTTTTCAATTGATTTATAAATTTAATTTTATAGACGGCAAGAATGGAAGGACTTTGCTCAGTATAAAGGGTCTTCAAACAGTCTACGAATTTGTTCCGATCATTTTGAAAGACGTTATATCAAGAAAAATACACCACCCAAACGACTATTTGTACCAAATATTGTTTCCACTTTACTTCCGCCTGATAATATTTTGAAAGTGCCCGAGAATATGGCAAAACTTCCGTTGACAAGTGCAACTGCGAAAAATTCATTGGTATGGTCTCTTCATAGATATAAGAAAGTGACCAATGGCTTTTGAACGGATTATCCAATGGCGGTCGTTAACATACAATGCAACAAGATTATTACCTTAATTAATAATTAATAATTAACAATTAATTAATTATTAAGTAATTAATAATAATAATCTTGTTGCATTGTATGCTAATGGTACCCTTGGATAATCTGTTCAAAAGCAATTGGCCACTTTCTTATATCTATGAACAGATCATAAACATCAACAATGACGAAGTTAGTTAGAAAAACTTAGATAATTTTTGTAGTAGTAAAGTAGAAAAGTATTGCTAATATCCATAATGTCATTGTTATTACAGATGAATGCTCACATATTGACAAAAGCATTACTTTAGAAGTACGCAAGGCTACTGATAATGAACCCGCTTTAATTAATGTTGAAACAAATAACTTTGTAAAAATTACATTAAGAGGTAATAAGTGTTTCTGCTCGCATTAGAAACTATGACTTCAATGCAGGCAAAGAGCATCAGTTAATTGTATTTAACATTCAAATTCATTGCGTTTATGTCGAGTAAAAGAAACTTTAAAAAAAATTTCAAAAAAATATATATAAATTCAGTGATATTCAACTGAGAGACAGTTATTTGAAAATTATGACTATTGTAATAAGCAGCCTTACAATTTTCCCATATTTATATTATTTCAATAGCAAAGAAAATGCGGGAAGCACGATTCATCAGACGTGAACTCAAAGACTGATACTGTAACATAAAAAAATAAATAACAGGAAATTGTCTAAACTACTGAAAAAATACCAATGAAAAAACCAAAGCAAAGTGACGACCAAAGAGGAGAAAAAGAGGATGAAGTACCATTAAAAAAATCAAACCAAAGTGAGGACCAATAAAAAAGAAATTAAGCAAAATATTGAATAAAATATATATATTTTTGTTATCTGCTGTAGTCATGTAAGCAAAAATATGTTTATATGTATTATTTAATTGTTAAACTCTTATATACGTTAAAGCATATTTTCGCATTCACATTTCTTTTATTAAAATATATTTTTTCATATTACTAAGTGCAATGATAGATTTTAAACTGTTTCAGCAGTGATTAGTAAAGGAATATGTTTTTTGAAAAATTTTATTATAATACCTAATAGGTGTCTTTTAAGAAAACTTTTATTATTATCAGAGAACTTTATTTACACCAACTTTTATATTATGTTTTTAAATAGAATAAATTTGATCGTATATGAAATTATTTACTAAAAAAAAACTGCGCTTTTAGCTGTTTTTTTTTTTACAATATAATTATTGTTATAATAATAGTTTCATTATTTTAAGATTATCATTAATCATTTTTTTATTACTATGTATTTTCAGATGTTTATTAATTAAATAAATTTCAATAATTTTCAACTATTTCGACATAATTTTTTTTTCACATTTTACCTTTCAAAATTTAAATTGAATTGAACCGTACGTCCCGCGCGTTTTCCGTTTTCATGATTGGACACAATCACTAGAGGGCGTTGAAACTTGTTTACGCTTTTTAATATTGCCACTAATGGGAACCTTATATAATATAATAAATAATAAATAATAAATAAAAAGTTAAGTTAAAAAATAAAGTTACGATAAATAGTGACAAATAGTAAAATGTGACTGTGGATTCTTCTTGGTATAGGTATATCGAGAATTGCTAATCATAAAAAAATTACTTCTGGGGACCTTTATTTCCACAACTTTAATTGCATGGAGAATCGCAAAAACAAAGAAGCCACCAAAAGGAAACCCAACCTCCTCACTTTATATCATGAAAATCTCTACCCTCTGGCGTTACACCGTGAAATTAACACAAATATTGCAATAATGGTTTAAACGTGCACACGTTAGATGGAGCTCTTCAATAATAAGTTTAAAATTAATACTGCAACAAATATTATTATACTAATAAATAATAAAAACGTATAACAAAAAGTTATTCTTGATAAATTTGTTTTTTCGAAACTTATTGTAAAGAAAACATGTCTAGAGAATTAAAAATTACTGTCAGATATTGATATCCTATTTAAATTTACCTTCAACGTAGCAAAACGCGTCGAGTGATGGAAAAATGTCTATTCCGGCTTCTTTCAATATCTGAAAACAAAAAAAAAAACATGGATCGCGAATTAAAAAATAATCGGAAAATTTTATCTTCCGATAATCATATAAAAGTCGTTTCGGAATCGCTGAGCAGAAATCAACTACTTTACCTTAGGTTTGTTTTTATATTTTAAGGAATTCTTAAAAGCCAGATAATACAGTGGCTGTAAGGACGGCAAAAATTGATGCAGTCCTGGCAACTGTTAGCGTAAATGTTGGAATTGTGAATTTGAGGTCTTATTGGTTGAAAACGAGAATACAATTCACCGCGCATGCGCATACTGGACCTTGTCGACATATTTTACATGGTGTTTTGAAAATTTCATGTATAATGTGACCAAAAATATAGTGCATTTATTACTTAGCCGTTTTAAGTATTTTACAGTACCTTAACCTAAGACCTTCGCAGGACTGTGGTATTTTTGTGTCTTCTACATAGTTCTTCGATTTGTAAACAACATTTTTTTTAAACTATAGATTATATTCGCGGTAGATAAAGGTACTTCATAAGAATACAGATAAATATTTATTAGAATCTTACAATTAAATATTTTTAACGGTTCCTCTATCTTAACACTTTAAAATGTGGAGACCGTGGAATGAAGCTGATGTTCCCCTGTTAGAAGACGACAACGCAGAACCTGAAGACGAAGTGGAGATGATAGTCGAACCTAATGACAATTTACAAGACGAACTACCTCAGCAAATAAAACAGAACTTCGAGGGGCAATTGATTTAACTTTCGAAACTCTACGAAGGAAACCAATAATTATTTTAAATGCCATTAAAAAAATAAGAACAATGTGAGAGTTTTGCATTCGAGAAAATGGTCTCCAATTTGAACAACAGTTTCAGATATAATATTATGTTAATATTCTTTAGATGTAATGTTATTTTGTATTAATTAATTTAATAATGGACTACAATAAGTTATTGCCAATTAAACACATTTAAATAGTTGTGATGAATCGTTTAATGTTACAACTCTAAATTCGTAGCTTAATTTCTTGTGATTTTTTGAGTAGAAATCAATCACACACGTGTTGACATTGCAAGATTTTATTCTTGACCATATATGGGCATGGGCCCGGGTCGACCACAGAACACAAAATTAGACAGTTCATTTTCAGCTGTGATGCTGCGGTGTCTGTTGTATGCGACGTTGCCGGATCGTGCGATGTGTCCCTAACAAATTGAGTTTTAAACTATTGAATTTCTTGCATGTTGATAATTGTTTACTTGAATATTGTTTTTAATAGATTAATCATTGCCTAATGCTAGAAATAAAATAAAATATGAAAAAAATTAAATTTAAATTTTAAATAATCAGTTCCGATTAATGTAAAAAATAATATACCGGGCGTTCCGTTTCAAAAAAGTATATGTTTGCTTAGAATAAGTAAAAAACAAACTGGATTCTACGGAAAAATCCTATAAGAATGTTGTTTACACTCTTCAATAACTTAAAAGACAACGGAGATACGAGGGTGGTCCCAAAATTGATAATTTTGGATTTCACCCTGTATCTCAAAAACCAAGAGAGCCATGATGATTGTTATCTTTAGGTTCACAAAAAAAGTAGCACAGTGTCGCAACTTTCTATGTTAAAAATAACCGAGATACCCGATAAAAGTAGTATATAAAGCAAACCGTACTAACAGTTAATTTCAAGGATTCCAAAAGAACACAGACAGACTACCATGGCGTCAAAATTTCTAAAATAATAGTCATAATCTGTTACGTTATAGTGGATTTCAATCGATCGCTCTATATTTTATTTATAATTATTTTTGAGAACAAGTATGATGTGACGTCACCGCCTAGAAATATGTATAGACAGAATAAGAAGAATCGTTACTAACTAAAAAATTTAATTCCATATGCTTTGGTTGAACCTTAGCATAATAATGAAACCATTCTTGTCATGAGTCAATTTATTGTAGTAAGTGCACGTGAATCGTGTTATTAATTAGTATGGTTCCATCTAGCACTGAGCAGTTTATTTGTCAAAAACGGGCGCTTCGTTAGATTTCTTATCACTGAAAGTGCGCTATTTGGTGTTAATCAATACCATACAGCGTGTTATTGAAATGACCTCATAAAATTTAATGAATGAATCTCACGACCCAGGGACAAATGGCGAAACTATTCGTTATAATGGTTGCTGCCGGGTATTCCGGAAAAAAATGCTTCAAAAATTTCCTACAAAATGCTTATCGTGACAGCGATATATCAGATACCAAGGTTCGCTATGATGGAAGTATTACGCATTATTTTAGCGACAAGCACGACAAATAGTTCCCGTTTTTTTAAAACGAACAATGTCATTATCCCAAATTAATTCAGACTGATTCACAAAATGCAGAACCCTTTCATTGTTGTGTCTTCACAAGTAAATTCACCCACAAACTTTTATTTGCAACCAAAAAATAACTAAGTATTTTTTTACTACTGCAATGCTCTCTAAATCGCTAGTGTTTTAGGACTCGTCTCTGTTTTAAAATTACTTATTGACGATCCGCCTATTAGAATGTAGATGGCGCAGCAAGTATCGCTAAACTGTATTTCTTTATTGTCCTTTATTGGCATGTTAGCAGTAGTTTTAAACCTAATTATACTATTGCTGTTATTAGCTAAGATTTAATTTCAATGCACATTTTTAAAATAAGATCGTTCAATAAGGATATTACCCGTTTCAGTCTCGGCAACTTGAAATAAGTCCCGACTATGTCTTGCAACGCCATATTGGGACTGTTTTGCAGCTGCGTGATGCAGACGAGTCCTTCTTTGATATTGAACTCCAACATTAAAATGGCCGCCGTCAGTTGGACGGTCACCGAGTCACTAAAACAGTCCTCCCGCAACGCTCAGCTTCTTGATTCGTTCTCAGAAGCCAATACGTACTCGGCTTCAGGTTTAATGTCGTACGCCTGGAACGGTAGATTCGCGTATCGGTAAGTCGCCAATCCGAAAGTGCCGAAAACTCCGGTGCGAAAACTCAAAACGCACTTGTCCTCGTTGTGTTTTAAATCGAAAATTTCCTTTTTGCTCCAGCGTCTCGCCTCTTCGTCCCACCGGCACACGACGGGCAGCTCGAGAAAGATGACATGCTGAGGCCACCTAAAAAGAAACTGTCAATTAGCATCGACGAAGTTTTGGCGGACGCGCCGGGATACTTTATATTGACGGCGATCAGTTTGTCTAGCTCCGCCTCTTGTCTTCGCATCTCCTCTTCGATCTCTTCAGGCAAGCGTCTTACGGTGGGATCTTCGGGCGGCAGCGGAGGATTGTACGCGGCGTAGAACGGCACGGTTTCCAGTTTTTTCGGCAAACTAACTAGAGATATAGGACCGTGTAAAAAATTCCTTCAAAATTTGATTCGGTTATTTTGCACTATAGTCTATTGGTTAGAATGGAAGCAGAATAGAACGATACAAAGGTCCGATACATGTTTTACGCCACAGGCGTGATTAAACTTGCACTTGCACTTGCATGGAGAAAATCAAATGCTAAAGGCCGATTCACAAAAGACTAGTAACTTTTCACCAATCCACTAAAGGCCAACGTTGTTATGGTGTTCAGTTTCTCGGTGTTCATGTTGATGTTTTAATTGCAAGATTTATTGCAGGAAATGTTTTTGCAATGTCAGTTGACCTTAATTTACCTTACACCTTTATAGTCTAATATTTATTTGCTGTCTTATGACGTCTCTAAAAAATGTTCATGGTTTTCGTCAATAAAAAGCACATTTGCAGTTTTTTAGAAACTATGTGGTATGTGTAACATATACTGCATTACAGTTAATAATAATATTATTATTATTACTTGACGATATTCATAGATAAAAAAAAGAAATCCATATGAACTCCGGTGTTAAAGGTTTCAGATTTTTTTTTTGCATTTTGGTATTTTTGACTATTTCGATGAACTTGTAAGCATATTCTATTCTGTTAAAGTTTATATGCGAAATTAAATATTTTTGTACTATTATTATGTGTTGAAAATATGTTTGTCACAAGAAAAACTTTCATATGGAAGGATTTTTATTTCTGGTCAATTTTTGCTGAAAAATAGAATGTCATATAGTTCAATTCTATATCATGTAGGAGCCATGTGCTTAAGCTATGTGTAAAATTTAGCTGGCGCTTCTTAAATGCTTAAATCTGCAATCAGAACCAACAGTGTTGCAAAAGTCGATCCAGTTCACTCGGAAAATGAAAAAAATAAGGTATATGACGTACCACTTTTTTAAACTAGAGAAGCAAATATACATATTTCCTGAAACCCTTAACAATTCTATCACAAAGTAACCATGGTAAAGTGGATTAATGTTTGGTTTCAGTTGAATATCATCTCAAAGTTCCCAACAATTAATAATATTATTTCATATTGTCATTTTGATAATTATATTATTACTAATATGTTGCATTTTTTGGGAATATGCTTTAGACCGTTTGTTTTGCTGTTTTAAATAAATTAATCTAAACATTAACTATTTATTATTATACAGAAGGAAATTACCACATCATAACGTAATTGCTAATATAACTGTCGATAAAGCATTCTCGTTTCTATAAACAAAATGACCATTTCTGTTGCTGTGAATTCAAATTTTAGCATTAAAATTTAATGCACACTGTTGTTCCTATTGGACAGGCCCAGCTATTTAAGGCTATTATCTGTGGGCATATTATTCATTAGTTATAAGTGATATTAAAAGTATCTTTACGTGCAGTAATGGTCATATCCATGGTAATGAAATCCTGCGGTTGAGGCGGCTGAGCCAGGTAATCCAAATGGTAGACTCCGCCCAAAATAACGAACCTCCTCAAGTTTATCACGTGCTCCGGAACCACCAGCAACAGTGCCGTTCTTATTTCTGCGTAAAGGTTATCTAAAAAAGAAAAAACGGCGCAACTAGACGTTACTCAAAACGCGTCCGGGATTCATTTTTCGGTACCTTCACACGTAATTGCAAAAGCGCTCGCGGTGGGATCCAACTGCTTGAACGGCACCGACGGAATCTCGTCGTCAGACTTAAATTCATCGATTTCATCGGTAACAACGTCACCATCAGTTAACGTGTCCGCTTTTCCTTGAGTTTCGTCCACTTCAGTCACCTCCTTGTCCCTATTGTCGTACTTGTATTTGCGTTTCGCCCTCCATTCAAGTTTCGACGCCTCCAGCAAGTCTGCAATTGACTATATCAGCGTTTTGGAGCGATAGCGTGTGTCACCGACCCCAGCAGTAACGCTTCCGAAGTTGTGGGATTTTGTAGGTGTCGCTCGTGTCGCTTAGGTGGTCGTACTTAAGATACATCGCGCGTATCGCGGCATTTTCGCAATCGATGCTCGAGGGAAACAAAACGCTAGCTTCCAGTAGAGTGAAATCCACATCGATCCTCGGTCTGCAATAATAGTTTCAGTCATATAGCTGTGAGATAATATAGTGGCCCTACTACGGTAAAAACCAAAGAGTATAAGATAGAGGGGAAGGTCGAGTATACTGTTACGAATGCCATCTATTATTTGTGTTCAAGTACTAAAGTACTGTCATGGCGGTTTAAAGTAATGCGGCACCTTGAAAGTACTACAGTAGCATGTAACGGATAACAGCACTTTATATTTTAATAAAAAAAAAATTTAAAACTATTTCGACATCATTTTTTTTCACATTTTACCTTTCGCGTCCCGCGCGTTTTCCGTTTTCATTACTGGACACACTCACTAGAGGCGCTGAAATTCGTATACGCTTTTTAACATTGCCACTAATGGGAGCCTTCCCCCCTCTATCTTATATTCTTTGGGTAAAACTTGATGCGCCGCAGGTGGCTATGACATGATATGAACTGACTGATTTGCTGCATTGCAGTAATTTTTCTGGAAAATTGATTAATTTTTATAAGAATGCAACGTCAATCTCTGAAATCCGAACATAATTGGCAACGTCGAGTTAAATAATTACTACTGTCGCAGAACAGTAGTGCTCTGTGCCATGGTAGTTTTCAGTTTTGGTGTCAATATATCCGTGCGTTTTCACAAACGGTGCTTTCAATATTTTGTTTTTTCACGAAATTAAAGCAAATGTGGCAAATATAAGGACCTAATACAATCTTAGAAAAACAGTGATTTATCAAATAAATCCCTAATTTGATATTTAAAATAAAAATAAGATGTTACTATTTGCAAAACTTGACATTTAACCAACTAGAAAATAGATTTACACAGATATTTACATGTGAATTTGCTAAACAGAATTTACTCCATTTTTAATAGCTAAATAGCTACGAAGGACGTTTGGGTAATATGTTTTAGTGGACAAGAATTACAGGAAATATAAGGAAGCAATTAAGCTAAAAGTTGAATTTTTACTAGAACAAGCATCAGAAATACCAATTGTCAATTTCTGTCAATAGGAGGCGCTTCTTCAATATTTTTTCACTTAGATGTTTCATGTGCTATATCCTAGCAATTTACAAAAAAAAAACTTACATAAGAAAATACATGTAGAAATTGCATCGTATCTATAAGGCTTGAAGAACAAAAACAATTCTGCCATGCTTTTCCAGACCATATCTTCTTTTTTGGCTTAAAATGTATAGGATTTGGACATATTTTGAGAAAATACTGCCGTAAAAATGCTGGATCTAAACATCGAATATCTGTTGTTGAAAACCGCAAGGTCTCATAGGTCCTACGTCAGAATTTGTCATTAGAGCTGCTATTGGTTAAAAACAAAATTTTAAATCTCGCGCATACGCACGTTGAATGGGCCTTCTCGAAAATATTTTACATAGTGGCTTCATGACGTCCTGTACTATCAGCATAAGCAGGGCCTCGATTTGTCTAGTAGCTATAAGGTTTCAATACTTTCGCTTGTCCACTTTTTACTTGGTCATATCATTGTCGGAAATGCGACCCATATTAATTTTTTTTCCAAAACAGGTTTCTTTTAAGTAAATTTAAAGCAGATTTTTCATATTTTCATTCAAGTTTGGTACTAGATTATAATAATTTTAAATTAAATGTCGACTCTTACTTCGGCGGTCTTCTAGGGTTCGGTAGCGGTATGGGCAACATGACTCGCAACCACAGACACAACGTGACGTACTCGTCCTTGAAGTTAAAGTCCGCTGTTGGTATATTAATTCGATTCAGGTTATGTTCGACGTTGCGCAGCAATTTGTATGTAGCGACGTCGAGGCTCTCCTTTTGCCGATCTCTGAACATCGACCGAATCTGCAAAATTTATTTTAACTCGTACAGGGTGTCCTACTAAAGGGAACTGTACTGGGAAGAAATTTGAAAGAAAAAATTATTAAATAAATCGGCCAATGCTGGAAATTGTTCCTGAGTTTCTGAAATATCCACCAGAGGGCGTAAACTCCAAAAAGACTTCACGCATTTTAATAAACTTTTATTTGTCCTTAAAGATGTATTTTTCTAGCTGAGTCACATGATTGCAATTGCTTACCTTGCCGCCAGGTGGCGTTTTTTTGATATAATCACAAAGAAAATCCGTAAACGAATAAATGCAACGATACGAATTTTTTGTGTGGAAACCGCATTTTATTTCCTTTACCCTAGCCTAAAATACGAATAAAAGAACTAAAAAAAGTTGGATTTTGGGAAAAATTTCCACTTAACTTACGTTTATCAAATAAATCTCTAATTTTATATTTAGCTTGCCAAATGTTATTTAAAATCAAGATAAGATGTTACTATTTACAAAACTTCTGGATTTCTCCTGACTCGGTTGTTAAATGGAATTTTGCTTTTAACGGATCGAAAATGTTGAGATATTTTTGGACAAGTGGTAAATCTGGTTTTGACTTTACATTTCTTAAGAACTTTTGATATGTGCTCAGTGATGTTTTGAATGTAATTTTATCATTTACCTTTCACCAATATGGGAATCACTCATCCTAGACGATGTTTATGCCCCTCATTTAGCTCCGCTTCCCTCAAACAATATATAACCAGGTATTATTTTTATAGAATGCCTACGTAGAGCACTAGATTATACTTTTTATATTTGGCCATGCTTAATTAATTTTATCACTTATTTTTTCATAGATAGATGAAGCAAACAGATTGTTACTCTGTCTTAGGCTTAGAAATTTTTGTAGAAAGCGAGTTTTAAAATTGAAAATAACAATTACGCCCCCTGGTGCCCATTTCAGAAACTCGAAAGTCATTTCCATGGCCCATTAATAATTTGTTGTTGAAATTTGTAGAACGTCCGTTTCCCAAATATCTTACCTCGTCGCCCTTACTAGGACACACACTTATCTGAAAAGGAAAAAAGGGACGCATCTTACCCATTTTAAATTTTTCACCAGGCTGGGATCCTCTTCCGCATCCAAATGTTCGTCCAATTCCTCGAGAAGCTGTGAAAATCAGCTTTAGTCGAATGGTCTGCCACAATAGACTGTTTGATAGTTGGAAGTATAAACAAGCAATATGTTTGCCAGTGCCTTCATCAAAATACACCCTCAAACTCATTTTCTTCTTATTTTGACGTCCGATATTTATTTGCTGTTTTGTGACGCCACGGAAGCTCTCGTTTACGCCAGCTTGTTTACAAATTTCATTTTTACTTTGTTTTTTTTTTTAATAAATACATAAAGGAATCAAAAGCAACATTGAATAATCATATTGTATACCGCAACCAAACCTGGATGACGTCAGCCGTTCTGGCAGACGCGTCTTCTACAGTCGTATCACTAATTACTTGCTCCCACAGGTGCAGGTAGGTGTTCATCCGATCACACTGTAGGGGATTGGGGAGTCTACCGCAGTCTACGTATTTCTTCCACTACAAAAACGACACTACCAATGACCGCCGCTATCGCCTCCTCGAAACTAACCTCGATTTCCTCGCGCTCTAGTCTTTCCAACTCCAAGTAAGACTCTACGATATCGTCCATTAATTTACGCGATTCCTGTAGCTGCTCGATGCGTAGCTGATGCTCGACGGCTTCCTTTTTGTCCTTCTCGATGGCGGCCAGGCGGTCCTGCTCGTGTTTTTGCTTCATCAGCTCCTCGAGCCTAAAACCCGTTATATGAAATTGGTACCAGGGGAGCCAAGATGAATCTTACATCTTCGCTTGGGCCTCGGCCTCTAGTCGAGCCTTCTCTGCCAATTCCGCAGTCATCCGGGCCTTCTCCTTCTTGGACAACTTCTTCTTCGATGCCTGGAACGACATTGAAACGAATCAACGAAGATTTGCGCTTCTTAAAATGTCTATACCGTTTCCGGTATAATCGCTTCTATTGCCTCACTATCGATGCCTGGAAATACCGTTTTTAGAGCAAATAATTTCAAGTCGTACTACCACCCATAGCGAACGCCATTTGCGTCAACTCTTCCAGCCTTTTCATCGTCGGATCTGCACCAATACTCTGTTTCCTTTCTGGTGGTTTGACCGGTACTTTTCGTTCCTTTTTAGGCTTTTCTTCCACTCGCTTTTTGCGTTTTGTTCGACCTTTTACCGTTTTTCCGCTCACTTCTGCCTTCCTCTTTTTGTCGACCTTTTCCTCATCATTTTCTTCTTCCTCCGTGCTGGTGGAAGACCATTCCTCATCCCGATATAAAAGCGAAGGACGTATCGGCTTGGAGTATCTTCTCGATATGTGTCTGATCGATGTTCTTTTCGAGTAAGGGTCTGGCTCTGAGGCTGATGGAAGTCCAGTCATAGTTTCGGCATCTCGCAGCTTTTCGGTGGCCTTCCGTTTCATCCTGCTTTTGGGCTTAGCTTCTGCACTTGCCGATTTTGATTGCGCAGGGGACTCTTCCAATTCGGGTCCCGCCTTTCGCGGCAGTTTTTTCTGGATCTGGACCTTTTTCTTCTCATTTTTGCCCATGTTGGGAAATATTTTTTTCAGGACGACTCTGACAGCTGACTTTGAATAAAGCTCAACCAGAGACGTAATATTTACTCTAAGCGGCACACCAGCAGAAATGTCATGGGAAAGAAAGGTGTCTTGATCGAATACTATGGATATGTATGACGACCATAGTGATAAGGTCACAAGATAAAGATTTGGAAGATGCGTTGGTACCTAAAAATGCACAAGCAACCATCATAGATTGATTTGATTGTTAAGTGTGTGTTTTAAAAGCGTTTTCAAGTTTCAAGAAGACATAGACAATACACAGATTTGTCGAAGACCTTTCACCGAGTAGACCACATCGTACTAACAATGCTTGGATTTTTCGAAAATTATGCTGCACTCATAAAATCAGAATACAGTACGTAGAGGTCATGCTTTGATTTATATAAATCTGATATAATAGTTGCTCTTTCCGAATGATATGATGATGATGATTGGGAGGTTATTGGTTCTTGGTGTGCTTCCAATAATGTAGCACAGCATAAAGAGAAATACCTCGCAATACTATACTATAACTTTTCATTACCACCTGGACTATGACACATTGGAATCTAATAATTTAATATTATTACGCCATTAAATTGGAATTAGATTTTTTATTATTATTTTTATTTTAATTAGGCTGTTTTTGTTATGGTTTTTAGCTGATTGATCCTAAAGGTATTATTTGTACTAGGAGTTTCAGGTTGGATCTAGTGAAACTGCAAGTTTTTGGTTGGTTAATTATTCTAACGCAAGCTTTTTGAATGGTTTTTAGGGTATTTAAGGATGTTTTTCAACACAGTAATCCCATAAGAGAGTACCGACTAAGCCAACGCGAAGAATTTTTTATCACCTTATATCACCTTATACATAAATTTACATTGTTCTAGCTTAAACAATTTGTCTATTTTATAGATGTCCAAGTGTCTATACAAATTTTTTGTGTGCGTGCGACGATCATAATTGAATCACATTGGAATTAGGTATCTCATATGTGATACAACATAAGAATTGTAAATATTCATTCAATATGTAAATTATATTTGATATAAAATTAATATGCTCAGCCCAGTTTAAACTATCATCGATCAGTAGGCCTAAATATTTAATTAGTATAACACGTCCTATATTTATCTTGGCATCTGTTTTATCAATATTGATTTTTAATTTATTACCCAAAAGCCAGTGTGTATATTTTTTTAAATCAGAAATTATTATTTCTTGTAAATGATTCTCATTTTCACCACTATAAAGTAGCACTGTATCGTCTGCATTCACTTTTAACATTGTTTATTTGAACATATTGTTTTCTATCCAATAAATAAGTTCTTAATAGCCCGCAAATCTCTATACTGACAACATCGAACGCTTTCTTAAGATCGATAAATACTGCTACTGAAACACGCTTTGCATCTAAGTCGGACATCGATTTACAAGATTCATCGTAGCAATAAATTGAAGAATTTAGGTCCATAATAGTTCTTATAATTTCTAGTCTTTGCAATTCTTGAGTAGTCAATCCACATATAATCTCTGTTTCTGATGAGATGGTGGCAAACATTAATATGAAAGGGATATTGATCCTGGTTGCTTTCAGTATATTGTAATGCCGAATAGATATAATAGCATGGAACAGTTAATATTTGGAGATCTTTAAACTTGGTATGTGAACGGACCAACCAAACCAAAATTGCGTAGCTACTTAATCCCTGAAAGGGTGAAAAGTATACCATTCTGACTATACTTTAAGAGACCTCGCCGACCAAACCGCGCAACAAGTACACCACCCTGGAGAACTTCTCACAAAGACCAATAATTTACTGCTCGAACGTCAATTTCGGATCACATGTAGTGGATTGAAAATATAATTTGTTGTGTTTTTGATTCATTGAGGTCAAGTTTGTTAGCACGAAACCAATCACTAGCCCCGAACTCTGCCCTCTCCATTCTGTGCACCAAGTCGTCCTCAGAATGACTTCGACAAGAAAAGGTGGTATCATCAGCGACAAATGTACAAACTATGTCAGGAACATGCTCAGGGAGATCATTTACATAGATAAAGAATAGAAGGGGGCCCATTATGGATCCTTGGGGTACTTCATGTTCAACAACTCCAATTTGTGATGATTTTCGATCTGCCTCCTGTTGAAAAGATAAGCTAGATTCACAATACCTTTCGTCAAAACCTATATCACGACAGTGTTTCATCGAGATTGCGTTTATCTCTAAATTCGGTTCGTCTACAATATTCTTACCCACATTCGAGAAATAATTATGTTTATATTTAATTATAATTATAATTACGTTTTGTTTTTCACAAAATAGTTAATAATCCTCCGCTGTTTTTTTGAGTAACTTCCAGTTTGATTCCATTTCTTTATAAAGTGATCATTTTTAAGAACTCTAATTTTATTACTTACTTTATTTTTGACTGCTTTAAATTCACCACACAACTCAGTATCTTTCCTATTCACAAACACTCTCTTGTATAATCGGTCGCGTTGTTTTATCAATTCTAGAGGTTCCACTGTAATCCATGTGGTATTCTCACGGGTTCTGACTCTTTTTGAATATTCAGATTGATTTTTACAAGTGATTATTAGCTCAATTAACTCTTGAAATTCCCGTAAATTGAATGTTTTTTATATCTGACAATCTTGGAGCATATTTTTTTTTTATAAAATAAACAAGAGTTTCAGCAATCTGTTTTTTTCCAAGTATTGGCCAAGTATACCCCTATGTACTTACTATCTGTTTTGTGCTCGGCAATTTGACAGTCGCAGTAAGAAGTATTACTGTTAAGTGGTATTATATATTAATAATATGATTTAACATCTTTAGCACTGGCATCCATAAGGGGTTTTGACTCAGTATTATTGAAATACAAAAAAATACTGGAAAAATAAAATTTCTATTCAATTTGCACCTGTATTGACGAAATGATTAGAATCTGATATGGCGTTTAGTAAGAAGAATTCATTTTTGACTATTTTTTAAAACTAATATTTTTTTGTATTAAAATTAAAGGACGCCACTGGTAAAAGTAAAAAAAAACTTTTGATGCTTAATTTTGAATTTAATAAAACGCTGTGAAATAACATTAAAAGTACGATACAAAAGAAACTTTTTTTAATAAAAAATTCTTATAAAGGGCTTCTTTATTGTTTTTTTCTCTGTCTCCTGATCCACCTCCATCGCTCTGTATATCTCAAAATAAATCGAATTCGAAATTGCAACGCCGCTCGAAGCCTCGTTTCGCAAAACATGCGGTGTCAGGCGCAGCAAAAATTGTTTATAATTATTATTATCCAGCGCCATTTTCGAAGCCACAAAATGCGTTTTGCCAAAGAACGAAACGCGCTTGCCGAAACACGATCTCGTTAGTTTCGAATTTCAAAACGCGAAAACATTTTGCCCATTCAAGGTGAGTGGTGTTGTTAATAATTGTTGTTGGTACTTTCCCGAGAGGTGGGTAATATGGTAATGCAGATACGGCCCGTGGAAATATATCGTTAAGTGCGACGTTCGTTTCCGAACCGGTAAGCAATTTTTACGAAAATTTATGTTTGCGATTTTGACTTTTATTATACCTATTTGTCCCGAAGGAGAGTTTTTAATTTTTTAAAGGTCGATTTAAGCGGTAAAGACGGTTCTCATCTTAAAAAAATGTAAATATAAATGTGTTATAAACCGGGTGTCAAAATAAGGTTAATCAGGTATCGTATTAGGTTAATGACGAAAAAAAAGTGTCGAAATTATTTAGGAGCTTTCGGAGTAGCTACCAGGGTACTTAATTGCCACTTTGATTTTTAAACCTCTTTTCTGCATTGGATGGATATTATTTTAAAGCTGAGATAAACATAAAACTTAACAAAATGTTCAATTTAAGGAAATAGTTCCATTTTTAGGGTGGTTATTAACGTCTAATTGTCACTAATTTAACTAAGGTGCTATTTTATTATTTACAAAGGCCCAATCGAAACAAAATTTAGTTATTTATCTTTAACACTTAATATTGCGTAGCTGTCATTACTTTTTAATTCTCTTAACTGTTTTCAATTTTATTTAAACTAATGAAATTGAAATAATGAACTAAGTATTATTTTCGGAAAGTATATTACATAAGTCCGAATTTCAAAAAAACGTAATTTTTTGTGATGAAGTGACGTCGTGGAAAATAATATTTTTGCTACCCGGTATATTCTAAAAAATTTTTCTTCCGATTTTTGAAATTGGGTATTGACGGTAATGAGAAAACATAATTCGAAGAACAAAAAGTGCCTCGCTGACTTTTTATTTATTTATTTGTTTGAAATTAAAATATATATTTTTCTGTTTTTCCATATATTTTGTTAGTAATACAGAAAAAAAAAGAAAATACGCAAAAAATTTAAAGACACAAATATATAAATAAAAATAAAATTGTTTTGCATGGAAAATTCTGATTTTTTTCATAGGTTTTCAAGGGACACCCATTGTTCAGTAGCCCGTGAAAAGGAAAATTAATTTCTTTAAAAATATATTGAGTGTACCATTTCAAAACCAAACGTTGATCAGTTTTCCAAAAAAAAGCTGAGCGATTTTCTCGCTTGAACGCCTTTTTTAATATTTGAGCTTGATTTCCTTATGGAATAGTTTAATAATTTGTCTTAATTTTTCAAAAATAGATAAACACGGGGAGTAAAAAAAGCAACAATAAAAATTTGAACGACAAAATGACAAAAAAATGGTGGTGTATGCTGTACTACAGAAACGTCACTATATTGGCTTACTGTGTGTTTGAAAATCATTCTTTGACTCTCTACGGTACCTGTTTTTTTAAATTGTAATCCTAATTTTAATACAAAAACAATCTACCTCAAGTATTTTTTTTCTAAAAAAATCCTTAATAATCGAGAAAATAGTAATAATAAATAAAACAAATTATTATTTGCAACATTCCGAAAAAATAGATATAAATATTATTTTCTTATTCTTGTTTTTATAATTTTTTATTATAATTTATAATTTTTCTATTGTTCTTGTGACTTTTGAATTTGAAATTTGAATGCGTTTTTGATAAAATTTATTCGATTTTTGGACTTTGAACAAACATAATTAATAAAATTTATAAAAAATTAACAAATACGAGTAAGGTATTTCTTTAGTGATGGAATGTTTTGGTTAGTTTTTTCTGCCAAGTTTCGCTGTTATCTTGATGGCAAATTAATAGCGGTTTTTCAAAATAGGAAACCTTATACAAAGTAACACTTTATTTAACGTCAAAAATTCAAAATATGTCAAAAACTGTAAGACTTAAGCATAGGTTATTAATTATAACATATGTCTAGAAAGTTTCGAGGACTTGAAATATGCTTGGGTGTTCTAATTGAAATAAGAGAAATATTAGTTTTTATTAGTTTGGTTAGAAAATATAAACACGGTGTACATATTGTAATATAATATTTTAAAAGTATAAGTGAATCCAAACAACTATTTTCTTGATGTTTTGAGGTAAGGTATTACGTCATAATAAACGGGTAGCCCCGTACATATTCTATTGAAAAAAAAAATCCGTGGTTTTATCCATTAGACGAATGACAACAAATCGGACATAATAAGGGGCCAATAAACTCTAGGCTTTCGATATCCGGTCGTTCATTGTTCGACAGCAATCCCGAACGACATTTAAACATTTATGTATTTACCCTCCTCAAAGGTTAATTCGATTCAAAAAAATTGTCGTGTACTGTCGCTTCAGGCTTCCTCGCAATTGTCGAGAGTTTGCTTAATCAACGAGCTCGTCAAACACACGTTTGGTAATTCGTCGTCTACGCTATGCTAGTTTAATAACTAAGGACCGTTTGATTTGCAGGACTTCTGCAACGCCAGCAGGAATTGGTCGGGTTATTTTTGCGAAAGCTTCCGAAGATAATGACGAAGGAAGGGGTGACAATACCGCAGTATTTTGCGGGAAAACACGTCTTTATAACCGGAGGCACGGGGTTCATGGGCAAAGTGCTCATCGAAAAACTGCTCAGAAGTTGTCCAGACGTCTCGAAGGTTTACGTGCTCGTCAGGGAGAAGAAGGGCAAAAGTCCGGACGAGAGGGTCAGGGTCATGACGGATGTGGCTGTAAGTGATTTTGCATAAATGCATAGGTCCATTCATTTGGTGCAAGAACAAAAGTTCTGTTCTATGAAAATATACTCCATATTTTGACAAGTAGAAATGGACAATCAAACATGTATTGTAAATTACAATTGTTCGTACACAATTATATTTGCAAAAAAAACCATACGTATCCACTTCGGCCACTGGATGTATTAATAAAACATTTTGTGTTCGTTATTAAGCAAAATATATTAGTTAGGTATAGGTGTAAGTTTCTTACAATTAAATATTACCCAAATTATTAAAAAAAAACTGATTGGAGAGTATAGTAGTTTAATGTCTTTGCTTGTACCTTCCATTGTTTTTTTTTCCTAGCTGTTTGATCGACTGAAAAAGGAAAACCCCGAAAACTTAAAGAAAATCGTGCCTATATACGGTAACGTGACGGAATTGGGACTTGGTAAGTAAATTTTCTGAGAAATTCAGTACATGGCATATACATATATCTTAATTTTTTCATTAATTAAAATATAATCTTGACATAAAGACCCATCATATTTTCGGACTTTTTCTACAGCGATTCATGATTTTTTATTTATTTAAGGAGTTTGAGCATCAACTAACTAAACTAACTAACCCAACCGAACTAACCTAAACCAACTAAAACTGTCAAATCTTCTGACCCTTAACACCTTCTTTATCTTTGAGATTTACAATTTTTTTGGAAAATTGTACATTCACAACTTCCTAAATGTTCATATATTTTTACAGTTTTGGTTAATTTTTACAGTTTTGTAAATTTGCACCTTTTTTACTAAATAACTTCTGCGTGAATTTTAGACTTCTGGCCAAATTGCAGTAAATGCAGGAACTTTTTTTGTCGGAAAACTAATCAAAACTTGGCGAGAATTATGTCAGTTCCCAATTTTTCCTGGATATTTCGAACTCTAAACAAGCAGCTAAACAGAATCAAAGGTTTATTCGATAACATTTTTGTGAAATCAGTGTAACCGATTTGTTTTACTGTTAGAAAAATGTAACTAATAAGTTGTACTTAATTAAATGCAAAAATTTAATGAAACGTTTATTTATGACAATTTTATAAATTACGAAAACAAATCATAAAAATAATTTTTAAAAATGGTCAATTTCGAACCTTATTTAGGATGCGAGGAACGATATGCGGATCATCGATGTGATGAGGTTTAGGTTTATTTATTTAACCACAGTATACGTGTAAAATAAACAAATACATATAAGGATAATAAAACAATATACGAATAAAAGTACAAAACACAGGAGACAAATTAGTACTGTAAAAACAGCTTATTGTCAGTAAATTTTTGACAGCTCTCTTAAAAGAATTGTTACCAATGCGTTTTATATTACAAGGTAATTTATTGTAAAAGTTCAGATAAACTGGTGTGCATTACGGGTTGCGTAGGAATGACTGTCAGACTGAACAGAAAACTAGATTTATTAGAGCGAATCTCTAGATGTAGATGGTAAAGTCATAATATGAATGCTGAGAAAATGTGTTCTATATGATATTTCAAACCAAGAATTAGCAGAGCGTTTTTTTTAAGACGAAATACTCTGACTGCATAACTAGATCCACCCATATGGTGACCCCATATTGCATTCTAGAGTGAAATAAAGCGATATACACACTTCTCATAACTTGAGTATTAAGAGATTGCTGATGACAATGATTTACAGAGGGAATCAATATGAATAGGCCAATTCAATCTATCGTCAATGGTGATACCGAGCTTTTCGTAATATTAACATTTGAGGAAACTAACAGATTTTGCGTTCTATTTTGGTTCAAAAGCAAACATTACATTTGCTGTTCAGATATTCTGCAAATAGTGTACACATGATGAGCGGACCCAAAACCGATCCTTGCGGGACACCGTGACGCTGAGGTAAAAAAGAAAAGGTACCACCGTCTACGTTCACTCTTTGACGGCGATCAGTAAAATATGATTGGAAAAAAGTCAACGTTTGCAATAACAAACTATGATTGACAAAGTCGAAGGCCTTTGATATATCAAAAAGAGAGAGAGAAGTCTGACATATGAGGAAAATTAAAGCATTTATTAAAATAACTGTAATTGTTATGTAAAGTCAATTGAGTTTAAGTCGGAAAAAGAAATATATTAGTAAAATATGAATTAAAATCATCCGATGTTACAACCTGATTTTAAAGGACATCTATTTAATTCAAAACTTATTAGTCTCCAAGAATACTTGCTTTTATTGTTAGAGTTAAAAATAAAATTTTTGAATGCCAGGTTTTTTGTAAATATTAATGCAAGCGGATCTCTTTTTTTGCGAAGTGTTAATTTTGAATTTTTCGCCAGGTATAAACTCCGAATCGAAGAAGTTGCTCATAGAAAACGTGAACATAGTGTATCACGCGGCTGCATCGGTGAGGTTCGACGACTCTTTGAGAGACGCCATATTGATGAACACAAGGGGTACTCGAGAAGTGGTCTATTTGGCCTTAGAAATGGAGCGTCTGGAGGTTTTGGCGCACTTCTCCACCACTTATTGCAACACGGACAGAAAAGTGAGTAAAAGCGATATACCAATCGATTGGTTCATTATAACACTGTCAAAAAATTATGGTAAACCAAGGTCCGCTTTGGTTAGTTTAGTTGGTGTTTTTTAAAAAATAAAATTAGCAAATTTACCACAAAAATTGAAAGAAAAAAATTGCAAACGATCGCTAAAACTTGAAAACTTATAATTCTGACATTTGCTAAAGTTTCTTATTTCCAAAATCTTCCATATAAAAGGGTATAATGGGGTGGGAAAGTGCAATTGGAAAACCAGAAAACTTATAATTCTGGTATTTGCCAAAGTTTATTTTTTTCCAAAATCTTCCATATAGAAAGGTATAATGGGGTGGGAAAGCGCAAATGAACGGAACATCACATAAAGGACCTTCGTTTTTTGAAAACCCACTTTTAAAATTATTGTGGCGCAAGTTTGTAAACAACATCCTGTAGATAAGGAATAATGAAATAGGTATAGTCGTTGTTTTTATAGGAGATTGGAGAACAGATGTACCCACCACACGCGGACTGGAGAGAGGCCATCACTTTGGCGGAAAATGGCGATCCCCACGTGCTGGATATATTGACACAAAAGTACATGGGAGAGTTGCCCAACACTTATACATTCGCGAAGAGTTTGGCGGAGCACGTAGTGAACGATCTCTGCTCGGGTCGGATACCGAGCATCATTTTTAGACCTTCTATCGGTATGCTATTTTTTCTATTCCAAGAAAAATAAAATATTAATAAAGAAACCACACATTTAAAGACCAAACCACAAATATTTTGTTGTTCGATGCGAAGAAAGGAAAGGTTCTTAAAGTTCTTTTTTTATATCTGTGTTGATTATATTTAACATAGATTAAATAAACTCTTAGCTTATTGTTGGGATTGGCTAGTCTATTTTCGTTTCCTATCAATATCGCTCCCTTTTAGTGCTCGTATAAAATATTTTAGCATCAGCTTGAGTCAAAATTTAAAATAACTTTTTTTATTTATTATTAATTATTAATTTAAATTAAAATTAATTCTAAGCTCTTTTACAGTTTGGTCAATGAAGATGCTGAAAAACCCGAACAATTTAATTTAAAGAGAAGGTGCAGTCCAAAAATGGGTGCTATAAGTTTTTACATTTCTCTGTAAATACAATTTTGAGAATCCATTTCGGCGTACCGCACTTGTTGCATAATATATCATTATTCTATTAAAATGATTTAATAATAATATTAATGATAATAGTAATAATAATAAAAATAATTATATATTATATATTTCGACCTGACAATTGTTTCGACAACACCGTTTCTTTATCAAATGTCACATTGGGTAAACTTTTTAAGTCACTCGTTTATTAAGCACTCGTGACTCAAATGCCCTTTACCACACTTGTTGCATAATATACTATTTTTAGTTTTTTTTTTCTTGAAAGTTTTTACTCACATGATTTGTTTACTATTAAAATAATTTATTAATGATTATTATTATTAATAACATACATTAATTTCAAATTACATGCGTTTAAAAACTCTTCAACTCTAGAAGGATCCAGATTTAAGTATGGAAAACTTTTTAAGTCGCTCGTTTATTAAGCACTCGTGACTCAAATGCCCTTTACCACACTTGTTGCATAATATACTATTTTTAGTTTTTTTTTTCTTGAAAGTTTTTACTCACATGATTTGTTTACTATTAAAATAATTTATTAATGATTATTATTATTATTAATAACATACATTAATTTCAAATTACATGAGTTTAAAAACTCTTCAACTCTAGAAGGATCCAGATTTAAGTATGGAAAACTTTTTAAGTCACTCGTTTATTAAGCACTCGTGACTCAAATGCCCTTTACCACACTTGTTGCATAATATACTATTTTTAGTTTTTTTTTTCTTGAAAGTTTTTACTCACATGATTTGTTTACTATTAAAATAATTTATTAATGATTATTATTATTATTAATAACATACATTAATTTCAAATTACATGCGTTTAAAAACTCTTCAACTCTAGAAGGATCCAGATTCAAGTATGGCAAACTTTTTAAGTCACTCGTTTATTAAGCGCTCGTGACTCAAATGCCCTTTACCACACTTGTTGCATAATATACTATTTTTAGTAGTTTTTTTCCTGAAAGCTTTTGTCACATGATTTGTATACTATTAAAATGATTTAATAATAATTACAATATTATACATTAATTTCAAATTAAATACATTATATGTGTCCATCTTTACACAAAACATTATCCACTCAAAACTATGCAATTATATAATAATTTAAAATTCTTTAAATCGAGCTTTGCCGGTACATACGAAATTGGCACAGTATAGAAACATCTAACATAACGTGATACAATTCTTATGCCTTAGCCTATTTTACTTAAGAGCATAACAATTCGTTAAAAATAAGGCCTAAAAACTTTGTTTCATGTTGTAAAGTGACATTTTTCTTCTCGAGATTTATATTTTCAGGTGGTACAATTTCATCATTTCTGGTCCTGAAAAGAACCATGCTTGTTTTATTTTCATTTATTATTAGTTGTTTTCTTTGGAACTATTCTGGGCTATTCTGCATTTCATCTCCTCTTTTGAATAAAACGTTGTCAAATGTCAACTTTGTATATTCTGCATAAATTTTGCATAAAAAATCAAAATCAACGTGACCAAGGTCATTAAGATTATTAAAAATAGCAAAGGACTCAGAATCCTCGGTGAAGGACTTGGTCTATAATTATTAAGGTCATCGACCGCACCTGTATTTTTAAATAAAGATTTGACATTTTCCATCTATAATTGTTCCGGAAATATAGCGTGTTTTGATGAATTATTTACGATAGTAATTGGAATTTGATCTTCTCCATTACTGTATTTATTTCTGCGTTTCTAAATTCTAAAACTATTTATGAATATTATTAGTTTTACTTTTCCATTGATTTCGTCTTATTTTCCCTTATTTTCTGAGCATATTAATTAGTCGTATTCTTTTTTTGTGACAGTGATATCTACTGTAAAAGAACCTATGCCGGGCTGGATAGACAACTTCAACGGACCTGTGGGAATACTTATAGCTAGCGGAAAAGGTACCCCACCACTTTTTTGAGTAGTCCATCGAGCGCTTTGTATTTTTAATTTACAAAATTTGTTGAAGGAATTTTGAGATCGATATACACGAATCCGAATGTCACCGCTGATTACGTCCCTGTCGACTTGGTTACCAAGGGAATTATCATCGCGACCTGGTTGAAGGGCTTGGAAGCGTATGTAAATCGTGTAATTCAACATTTTTGCTTTCCTTCTAACCGAAAATATTCACTGTTAACCAAAAATAAGAAGATTCCACAATTCTACAAAAAAAATCAAATCTTCACAACTTACCATTTTTAACCGTCGTCAGTTCCTGCGGATATTTATCAGTATATCGATTTAATTACTGCCTAGAGACGTTTCATATTACCACTACAACCGCACTAAAATGGCTTGAATGTTTTAGGCAATATTTTTACTCTCCAAAGATTTAACAAATGTCTCCACTTCATTTTTTTTTTAATTAATTTTAGAAATATGAATTTTATTTTTTTGCAATTTATTTTAAAAAATTGTTAATTAACGTAGACATAATTGGTTTTAAAACTTTAATAGTACTTTTGCGGAATGTATTTTTAGTGATTTTCCAAATGAAATAAAATAAAATTACACGTTTTTGAAAATTTAAACTATGAGAAAGAGAGTGAGGTAACCAGAGATCCAATTAGAACAGAATATCGTTTGATTTTTATTACTTTAATTTAAGGACGTTGGTCAATTATGTTGTTATGTTGGTTGCATACATATATCTATTAGATTATTAGATAATATAGGGGCCCTATAATACAGTAAAATTTGATGCGCCTCATGTGGCTCTGATATTTTCGTAGAGATGGAAATGATCTTCCGCTCACAGCTTTAAATATACGCAACTCCCATACGCACACTCAACTCCTCTTTGTAGGGAAGATTTAATGGGTTCTGGACAAGTCTGGGAAAATACTGTCCTAAAAATGCTGCATTCAAACTTACAGTAGTCATCGTGGTTTGATTCTCAAAATTTTTTTTTCGTTGCTTCATAAGTTCCTGTATTATCGACATAGGCAGGGCATCTATATGTATATCTAAAACCACAAATTGAGGCTATTACATTATCCAAACACTTGGACTGGAGGCAAAGTTACAAGACGAGTTCTAACATTGTGTTTTGCATTTTCCAGAAAAGAGGAAGAGAAGCTAACATTGTCGGTTTACAATGCCAGTAACAACAATATCAATAATGTGACCGTAGGAGGACTAGTCGAACTGGGTACATCAATATTTTTTTTTAAATGCATTCTAGTCGTTTTGTCGGATTTGCATGCTACTACCCAATAGTAGCATTATTTTTTATATACGAGGTGTGTTCACAAAGTAACGTGACTTTAAAGTGTTTATTTATTTATCAAAATTAATGTCGTCCCCTTTAAGGTATTCCCCCCTCCGCTCCCAGATATAATACACTTGTGCCAACGTTTTTTTCCAATCCCCGAAGCACTTTCTGGTTTAGACTAACGCTGCTGTCTCACAAAAAAAAAACGTAAACGCGAAAACCGGCTCAAACTATGAGCCTATGTTAGGGACGTGTGTACCAAAAGTCACCTTCCTTTTTGAACACACCTCGCACATACATACAAAAATTTTCTGGTACAGGTAGGAAATTGTGCTGGGACTACCCGCTCAACGACATTCTGTGGTACCCCAACGGTAGCGTGACCCAGTGCTACGTTTATCATTTTTTGAGATTGATTTTTTACCACATCTTGCCGGCCATATTGATCGACGGAATATTAAAAATAACGGGACACCAGCCCATGTAAGCGCACACCGCTAAAGATGCTCGCGTGCCGTATACATTCGTCTGTCGCCATGTTCAGGTTGCTGAGGATCCAGCGAAAAATCTACATCGCCAACATGGCACTCCAATATTTCATCACCCAAGATTGGAAGTTTATCAATGAAAAAACGTCCGATCTGGAGAACAAACTGTTGCCCCCCGACAAAGAGAACTTCTATTACGACAAGGACCGCGTGGTGCCATACGAGTATTTTACGAAAGCCCTTTATGGAGCCAGGCAGTACCTCCTGAAGGAAGACATTTCGACCTTTGATAGAGCCAAAACGCATTCGAAGCGGTTAGATTATTTTTTTAGGCCCGATTTTCTTACTTTTAATGCCACTTAACTTTCAGAATGTGGGTGTTGTCCAAAATCTGCAACGGCCTCGCGTACGCTGGACTCTTTTATTTGATATTCGTAAAATATGACATTTTCGGACGCCTTTGCCGCTTGATTGTAGCGTATTTCGATTCCTTGGGTTGATTAAATGCGTACATAGATAGTTGTCTTTATTTCAAGCCCCGATTTCGTGCTACCGTATAGATGCATGCGTGTTTTTTTACTCACTCTATAGAAATGGACAATGCCCCCATGATTCACCTACAACCATGTGCATATCTGGTTGTCTGCTTGCAAAATAAATTCTCGTCCAAATTTGTGCCTTCATTCGCTCCTTTCAAGACGCGTATCGCGCCCATGCAAAAACTGACGCATAATGAAATCCTGATTTAACATCAAAACGTTTCAGAAGCTCCAATCGCCCGCACAGCAAATTCCCCCTTTCATACCCTAGCGTTATGCAACCCACGTCGCCCCTGGGTTTGTTAATTTCTCCAAGTCACCGATGAGAGCGTTGTCTTTTTCCAAAACCACGAGCCAGAACGAGAGGGCAATAGGCTAGCGTTAACTTTCCTTGCCATCCGAAAGGATTTCCGCGAGTGGGCGTTACCAACAGTGAAACGTCATCAATTCGGTGCCGAGTTAATTCAGTCACATTTCCGTCAACGGCGTATTCGATGGTTGCGATCGTTTGGCAGGGTTTTGTGAAGACGGAGCCGCATCCGACCGAACTTTCACGCTCAAACCGACAATTATTGAATTAAAGCCGCTTTATCCACGTGGTGAAGTTGCCCGAAACAAGTGATGGTGTCGTCATAGCAACGTCGGGTTGGATTTTTCCCGACGATGCACCGCTATCTTGTACTTTCGGCCCGATAAACAACAGCGTCGCCGGCGATTTTGACGCTGTTCGCGTTGGCAATTGATATCGTCCAACCATGATTTAATTAGGTTCCTTTTTTTACCGTTAACGAGTGGTTAATTCGCGTGAGAACGGATCAAAACATGTCGCACGCTGGTCCGAAACGTCCGTGTTTCCGTGGGAGATTGCGGTGGTGTCTGTGATTCCGTTTTGTTTATTGCAGAGAGCGCGTGACCGGATAAAATGCAATAAAAAAAGAAAAACGCGAAAATGAATAGGACTCTTTGTATCTTGGCTGTGAGTGCGATCTTATATGCATTTGGTAAGTTATTTTGGGTTTGTTTATGTTGCATTTAAATCTGTCTCCGATCTCGCTAGGTAGTGTGGGTGGGTTTTAAAAAGGTTTTTAGTTTTCTAATCGGGAACGCATTTACGCCCGCTTTTAGTTCAAAGATGGACGAGATGTTGATGTTTGTCGTTTTCCTTTGATCTTGGTTTCGGACTTTTGTAGAAATGTGTGCATACGGTCAGGTTTTGACTTGTTGATGTTTCGGAAACGGGGAGGTAGGTTTTATTTTCGTTTTGTATTTTAAGATAACAACGCTATCGATATACCGTGCTTCTTAGTCCGAGAGAGTAATAAAATGTAAATTTGCAATGATAGGGGTCGTCAAACAGGGTTAAGTTCAGATAAATCGCAATGATATCTATGCTCTGGTTCTTAATCGGAGAGAGCTGCAAGTCTTAGCCAAATTCCATAGGCTTGGTATTATATCTACGATGATTGTCAAAGGGACAGGGAGAGTTATTATATCTTTATTATGTGTGAAATCCATGGTAATTTTGTAAAATCGTAAAATGTTTGGTAAAATTTTGAGTTTTCAGCACTTTCCATTAGGAAACTCATGTGTAAATAATAAAAAAAATAATCTAAAAAATATATGATTAAATAAATATTTTTAAGTTATTTTTAGGTTGCGTCTTACGGTGTGACGTTTGATTGCATCATATATTATAAAAGTACTGCACCTAACAATAGAAATAATAAAATAGAAAATTAAACGAATCTTAGGTATTAGTGATATGAGTGTTCCTTTGTTGAATTCAACAAATCCACTTGGCATTTTAAGAGTTATAATATATAACGTATAAGATAAGGTCATAAGAAATATTTTTTATGGTTTTTTTTTGCTTAATTTTTATTTTCATATCTACAAAATTATTGAAATTCCTAATTAAATTTTAAACGCACCCTTTTCCATGAAGGAAATTTCTTAATTAAAGGTAAAGAAACAAAAAACTAAATAAATACACTTTGAAAAAAAATCAAAGATATTATTTTTGTCTCTTTTGAAAATTTATTTTTATTTATTAATTTACCACTGACTATACTCTTTTCCACATTTTTAAGAAAGTTTTTGAACAGTGAAAACTGCCTATAGGGAAACTGTATAACGCAAAACACTGTATTACGAACAAAATTTGTTGTACCGTTAGGTCTCCATACAAAGCTATGTATAACGAATTTTTCACTCTCTATACCGAAAGAAAAAAGGACACGCTGAGTGAATACGGCGAGCAAGGCAAAAATTTGATCTCTAGATTATAAAGTTGCTTTAATTCGGGTGATAGAACGGGGAGAATAGAAAAGTGATGTGGCACGTCGATACGGATTTACACCATCGACTGTATCCAAGATTTGGAAGTGCAAAGAAAAAATCATTCAGGCTGAAGCGGCAGGCAGTTCTAGTAAAAAACTAGAAAAGCCAATATTTAAAGATTTGGATCGGGCAATGTTGCAGTGGTTCCAACGGCAACGTCATTAAAATGTACCACTCTCTGGACCTGAAAAGTTTGCTGAAGAGTTTGGCATTATCGATTTCAAGGCTTCGAAAGGAAGGTTGTGGAAGTTCAAACAGAGACATGGTAGAAATTATGGACAGATAAGTGGCGAATCCCGTGATGCCGACAGAAACGTCACTATCGATTCGCTGGAGAAGACGTGACCAAAACTAGCAGAAAGTACCCTGCTGACGATATTTTGAATGCTGGTATTTTTTACAAAATGACGCCAGATGAAACTCTTAAATTTCGAAGCGAAAAGTGTGTGGGGTGTGGGTGGAAAACTTTTTAAAGACCGTATAACAGTGTTAGTAGCTGTCAATATGAGTGGGAGAGAAAAAAGAAAGCTAGTCGTGATTGGAAAATAAACTAAACCACGATGTTTTAAAAACATCAAGCATTTACCGGGCACTTACAAGACAAACAAGTCTAACTGGATGACATCGCAAATTTTTGAAGAGGAGATACGGAAATGGGATGCAGAATTAAAGGGGAGGAAAATATTACTTCTCTTAGATAACTGCCCTGCACATCCCCATATTCCAAATCTACGGAATATACAATTCAACCCTCCGATCGTCGTGCATTACAGAGACAGAATGCGACCAGGAAGATGATCAGTCACTAAGCGAGTGGATAAAGCAGTTTCAAACATCAATTACGTTTACAAGTGAGGAGTTGCAAGATTTTATGGTGATAGAGCAGGATTTGCTTACAACAGCAGACTTGACAGAGGAAGCCGTATTACAACAAGCCAGAAAGGGTGAGGAAGAGCACCAAGAGGAAGAAGAAGATGAAGAAGTTGATCTGGGACAACCACCAACCATTCAACGAGCCCTATATTCAGTTAAGCTGCTAGATATATTTTTTATGTATCATGGGGAAGATGGTGAAAATACAAGCCCAAGTACGAGATGCGTATTGGTGTACTAAAAAAATTCAAAAGGAAATGACCGATTAATTGAAACATTAAATGTAGTTCTTAAATATTTATATAAAATGTTCCTAAGTAGATGTTAAAATATGTATATAAAATAATTAAATATTACAGAACACATATGCGTATTGTTATTTTTCAAGTGCCTATAACTCTATAACGAAAACTCTTCCTAACTAATAAGAAAGCAGTTACTTCAATTACAAAGGAATACAAGAATTTTCCGCATGACTGAAAACTTATTTTTCGCAATCGGAGAAATCTGGAAAGCCATTTAAAAACCTGTGAAATGGGTGAAATTTCCGTGAAATTCGTGAAATCTGTGAAATCATATGGTTGCGTGAAATCTGGTGTATGGATGGTATCTGCATGACGATTTGTTCCTTGATGGCATTCCGGCAGTTATTAGCAAAGTTCGTTTTTGAAAATGAGTAGTGTTTCTAAATTTGCTGCCGGGAAACGGATTAGTAAAACTACGCTTTGTAAAAATGAGAAAACCATTATTCTCAACGCTTTTTACCAACAAAACTTAATATTAGGATTTGCAAAAATAGTTGAAATGTGTACCAATATGGCTGGACAAAAAAAAACAAAAAAAAATTGCTGGAAGAAAAGAAATTGTAATATAAATGAGGATGAAAAAATTGCCTTCACAAGAATAATACGCTCGTCTAACCTCTAACTTAGAAAAAATATTTTGTAAAATGAAAAAGGGTGATTTTATTCCACCCTTGAGTAAGAAGAATTGAAAATAGGGTTATCTATTATATGGATGAAACTGGTATTAAGGAAATATATAGCATTGGTAAACCAAGCTTTGATGGTACCTTCGGGGAAAGGTAAAAGATTAATAATTACTAACATTGTTAGCAAAAATGGATTTGTCTATTCTGTTGTCTGTATTCTTTCTTTTTTAATCATGGATTATTCTTTCTGATGGCAGTCTTTTCATCCTCATTTAGGTATTACAGTTGGTTTTCTTCCTGTACTTTTGATGACCTGATGTAGCCGCATTTTTGGGTTTCCAGTCGGCTGTCCAAGTCCAGTCATATTCGAACAAATTTCTATTTTTGCAACTCCGAATGTTTTACTAATCCGTTTCTCAGCAATGAATGCAGAAAGACTAGCCACTTTCAAGACTGAATTTTGCTCATAACTGCTGGAAAGGCACAGATAGGTCAACTTTACCTGCCACTCTCGGGATCCTTGACATTCATCATTACAAGGTACACTACGCTTATGCCAGTAAATTTTACAGTTCAATAATGATTCATAACAACTTCGCATTAACCCTGTTAGCATGGCCCCATTTTGCAACAAAAGTGCCACACAGACGGCTGTTTTTTTCTTCGTTCCCTGTGGACGAATGTCATATATATCGGTCATAGAAATGTACTTGTGGTATCCTTTATAAAATCGCAAAAAAATACTTTTTTTTTTAATCATATAACTTTATTGCAATTTGAAATATATTTTTTTAACAAACAAACTTTTGAAAAATATTAAAAGGTGTAAATGAACTTATATAAAATATCAAAATTAATAAGAACTAAAAGTTCAGATTTTAACGAAATTATATATTATGACACGACACCGTGTCTTTATCAAATGTCACATTTGATAAAGACACGGTGTTGTCGAAACAATTGTCATGTCATAATATATAATTTCGTGAAAATCTGAACTTTTAGTTCTTATTTATTTTGATAAATGGATTTTCATCAAGTAAATGCCACCTCAGTTCAATTTATATAAAATATTCTTAAATAAAAATATAAAACTCATTTAAAAAAAAATGCCCAAAATGTTTGTTAGAATTTTTCGTTTGCGTGGTAGATATGGAAACATGGAGTTCGGCACAAGCCTTTGTCACATTCCTTACACATATATCTGGAAAACTTTCTTTGGTTTTCCTTTGCTGTTGTGTGTGAGCAGTTTTTGTCTTTTCACTTGAGGGAGCTAATGTGGGGAAACGTAGTCTAGCTATATCAGCAGGCAGAAACAAATACGGAACATGAGCTGGGCGTTTTTTTGAGGCTAGGAGGACGCGTTCGGCCTTCACATGAAAAAACCGGTAATTTTTTTTCCTTGGGGGGCAAGGTGGGGAAGTCGGGGGGGCTATCTCGGAAACGGTAAGAGTTGGGGGGTCGGGGTCCGCTTCGTCGGATTCAGAAAAAAATCTTGAGGAGGGGGCGGCCTCAAAAAATCACTTTTGAGGAGGTCGTCATTTTGAAGTTTTTGGAGTTTTCCGGAGTTATTTGAGGTCGGATCGGGGCGCGGAGGGCATATGCGTGTAGAGGGGCCCGAGGCGCACCGGAACCCTCAAAAAGGGCCCCCTCAAAATTGAGGAGGTCTTGAGGTTCGGGAGGATCTCGTCTCCTATGGGACGGATCGAAAAACTGGGTACCTACGTCGACGCGCCAACTAAAATTAACGTCATTAAACAGAAAAACTTGAAAAAAAAAAAAACAACAATATATGTGAATAAAAGCCAATAAAATTTCAGGTTTCGCACATTCAGGTCTCCTCAAGAGCTCTTCGGT